TTTTTTTTTTCTTTTCTTTTCTTTTGTTTTTCTTTTCTTTTTCTTTTTTTTTTTGTTTTTTGTTTTTTGTTGCTTGAGTGACCAACAAACCAATGGCTACAACCCGAGGTTGAACTTGATAAAAATACTGTTAAAATATGAACACATCAAGTCCAACCTTGACTTGAAGCCATTGTTTTAAGGTCACTCAAGTGAATATGAGAAAGGTCTTTAGTCGCAGGCTACATTATTCAGAATTCAATTTTGATCAGTGACCTTTTTCCTGCAAAAAATATTACACCTTATCTGTGGTACTGCTATAGCTGGGAGAGCTAAACTAGTCACAACTTACAGTAATCTGATTATTATTATCCCTGAAGTAGCATTGGCATGTGCTAGTGCTGAAGGAACTATTGGGTTGTAATATTTTATTGATTTTTTTTTAGGCTACTGTAGTTAGTCTTAAATGGGACCCAACAAATCCTGTCATTTATTCCTGTTGTTTGGATGGTATTGTACGCATGTGGGATAGTAGGTCAGGGAGTTGTGAAAGAGAATGGCAAGGACATAATACTGAGGTTCTTGACCTAGCAGTATCAAGGTAACAAATTGGGTATTTGCAGGTTTATTTCTACGTGTACCATCATTATAAATGCATGAAGCTGCAAAGATTCTTTACCATGGAAAAAATTACATGAACATCTCAGTGCTGTAACACTGCATATCATGGCATGACTATACCAAATCACCATGACAACCAAGGCACCATAAATCTACAGCAATGTGCTTACACTACCTCATGATGACAACACTCCCACTGTACCATCACTAGAGTGGTTTTCATATGAGTGAGAAACTTACAGTATTGACTTTCTGCATTTACCCTGTACGAATATATATTACAAACTTATATTTTACAACCATGATCACTTGCCGTACGGGTCTCTCGATTTTTATGGAGGGAGGAAACTGGAGAAACCAGATGAAACCCCTGTGGCAAGGAAGATAACAACACATCAAACAAACTCAACTCACATACATGTATGATCCAGTCTGAGCCGAGGCTTGAACCCAGACCACAGTGGTGAGAGGCAAGGTGGTAAACCACTACACAACCTACAGGTATGCCACCCATGGAATGGGTGATTTACTGGAAGACAATATCAATGTTTACTTCCAGTGATTGATCCAATTACAATGCATAGTTACGGCTTAGGTAAGATACAGTATGGCTACAGTACAATAATGAATTTGCCTTATCATTATACACTCATATGAAAACTGTACTGTTACGTCAAGGCATTGTCACTCAACCCAGCACCATCTCTTTAACACACAACTACCATACTACCACTACAACACAGCACCAGCCTTGAAACAACTACACCAAAAGTTTTTCTTTTATTTGCTGTATTTATTGTAACCCATATAGATTCATTATATTGATATATCATTTTTCTTTTTTCTTCTTCTATAGAGATGGAAATAAACTAGTCACAGGATCAGGAGATTCCACTGCTAAAGTTTTTAATGTACAAGTGCCTGCAAGATGATAATCCAACTGTGCAAACCAATCATATCAAGCTTATAACTTGTCAGTCATGCACATGACACACCCTTATTTTCTTTGCTGGCTTGAAGGCTATGTTATACTAAACACTCCTTGCAATATGCAAAACTATTGCATGTCAATTTGCAGGTCAAGTGTTGCATGAAATGAGAAATGAAAGCAATGCTAGCAGTGCAAGCTTCAAGAGTAAAGCACAAGATTGTCCAATACCGTGACATCAACATTTTGAGTTGCAAAGAAAATTTGGGATGTCCGACTACCTGCAATATATGCGATGATTTCTCAGTCCTCATCACCTTCCAAGTTCGAGAAAAATTGCCTTGTCTTTCAGTATGGGAAATTCGAAATATCACAAATAATGTAACAGAAACATCACCATTCTTTTAAATTTTTAATGATTCCTGCTCTAGAAAACACACACAAGGTGACTATTTAATTTTGCCATAAAACTAAAAAGAAATTTGTAATGTAGAAGTGTCTAGATTATTTGTTTTATTGTATAATCATATTTTCAAAGTTAAAATAAATAATAAATATGCTAAATCATAGTCAATAATAAATGAAAATAACCAGATAGTTTGTTTTATTTCATTATGCCGGGATAACTGGTAATAGAAAGAGTAAGGATTTCAACATGACAAAAAAGGGATATTCAGATATCCAAAGGCTATTGCTTATGATTATGTAATCCATACCTCGTTATATTATACATTATGGATATAAAAAGTGATGTATCTTAAAGGAATTTCTAGTCATTAGCACAGTTCCATCTCCTCCACTCCTGCGTGATGATCTCCATTTGGCAATATATTATGCTGCTAGTCTGAATGTAACATTTAGCTTTTAGCACAGCTTATTGATGCAGAAATTTCAAAACTCTTGTCTTTTGTGAATCATAGGATAGGACGTCTACAAGGTCTTTCGTTATTCCATCTTCTGTCATTATTATTAAGTTCTATGACATTTGTATAAATCATTTTGAAACATTAGGGTTGAACTGAGTGACATAATGCTGCTAGTAGGAAGTCCTCTTCACAGTTCTCTATGCCATCTTCAAAGGTATCTAAGGTAGGTATCTAAAGGTATCTAAATGCCATCTTCAAAGGTGCCTGTGCATAGAAGCAAGAACAGCAGTGACCTTACAATGATAGAGTGCAAACAATATATCCATGAAATATTAGTAATGCTAACTTACATTATTTTATGCTAATTCTATTGTTTTCTTTTGTTTAACTAGCACTATTTTGAACAATTTAGTAATTAGTGTTTCATGGATATATCGTATTGCACTCTAGAGGCATGTGAATAATAGTCAAGGCGTTAAAAGAGGTCTCGATAATCGCATGGTTACCACAATTTGCGTTTCAATACRCAGGTACGGTTACCTTTCAAGATGGCACAGGGAACTGTGAAAAGAACTATTATTGCATTTAGTGTTGGTATTGATTCATCAATGAGTATGGTCATACAACATCTAACTGGTTAGCAGCAGATAACTCTTTTTGTTCTCTAGCCTTGGCTTTCATCTTCTCCAATCTTTTTCTGTCAATGTGTCTTTTAGCAGCAACAAATGATGACAACCCAGCAGTAATAACCACTACCCTAAAATCCAATATGAATCTCATTAAGAAATCTTGATGAATTTACCAGTTAAATACATAAATAAATATGCACAGGGTAGGTAAGTGTAGTCTAAGACCATTATGTAATAAACCTGAAAGTGAATTTGAGCTTGTGGAAAAAACTGGGTTGATTTGGCATTACAGTGCATTGTGAGACTGCTAACATAGCATCTATTTCATCCCTTAAAACAGTCCCACAACGCCAACTCAGTCCAGTTTTGCACACTGGGACTTGGGGATTCCAGTCAAGAAACATCACTGGGACAGATATATATTTTATCATACATTCAGACTGGGAAACATATTTGTCTCGCAAATACTCTGGGGTCATTTTCAATAAGCTAATCATATAAAATTATTACATAGCATGCATGCTCTGATTGGTTGAGAAATGCTTTATTAGTAAACATAGCATGGTTGCTGACACATTTAGCAGTAAATCTGCATATGTTTCAAATTTTGTAAAGATTTTTTCTTTCTATAAAATAGGCTTTTTCCATGACCTGTTCAATAATACAGCACTGAGGAAGTGTCAAGAACCTAAGAACAGTGAAGAGAAGCACAAGCTTCTATGAAAAGCAAGGTAAAACAAAATATTGAAGGAACAAGATTTGAATATGTATCTGACAAAGAACAAATATTATCAACGACTCTAGTATATGAAACATGACTGGCTGGGGTCAATATGCTTCTGATCCTGCTCTCTGATTGATTGGCTCCAGTTTTCATTCTACATGTGACTAATTAGATAACTATTAAGACCCTATTAATAAGAGGTTTCATCTATGTCCGTAAACAAGAATCATCAGGTTTTTCGTCCACGTGCACTGTTAGAAACATGTCATCCCCTGATCCTTAACATTTCAATTTTCCCTCTGATTCCCTTCCTCTAGGCTAATATAAAACTTTTGTAACTTAACACTAAACCTTAAATGTTTTCCTTCGCAAACATTTTCTTTTCAAAGTGTTGCATCTTGCAGATACCGAAGAAAGTTCATGACATATTATAGTTATAGTAGGAGAGAGATCGATTCTTACCATCCTACCCCAACCATTCGCATTCCAGACAAGTACATTGGCATGTTTCTCGCTTGATCGTGGTTTTTTCTTCAGATTTTCATGTTTTTTTCCGCTGTATTTCTGCTACGCCATGAACAACAAGACTAACGGGAGGGGAATGTCAAATGCAACCAGGCGTTGCTCACTGCTCGCGTTAGCCCCAGTTCCCCTACCACAGGAAGACCACTAGGACATGGCTAGGACATGGCTAGGACATTAAATATAGTACATAGAGCAATAAATATTTCCATATGACTGTAAAAAGCTCAGTATTGTAAGTATACCGTGATGTTTTGTAGAATTTTAATTGGCTGATTTTTTCTCACTCAATGTGATTGGTCTGGCAGTACAGTGACCTTGGCGCAGTGTCTGCGTCATGTTCCTGGTATTAAATTTGGTTTGGAAGAATAGTAAATGCAGCCTCAAGCTTTTCAGTCATATGAAAAGTGCTCTTTATTCAAGGAGTGGTGAGGGTGGTAGATATATCATTACCAGGACACCAGCCTTCAGTCAACTATGCTTGACGTTCCTATACATCTATTTCAATATTGCCATTCAGTTGGTAAGAATTCCACAAGAGATCAGAAATGCAAACCTCTACTTGAAAATCAACACAAAGAATTACTCTGTTCTTATTCCAAAATATGAATTTATTGTCAAGATTTATCCTAACGTCCCAAACTTCAATATATGAAATAGGACCCTTCAAAAATTATCTTACATACAAGGCTAAGAAAATTAAAAAGGAAATCACAATTCCCTAAATGGAATTCTTGCCTTGCATCCAAGAAAATTTTGATAGGTAAGGATATTGTGCACATAAGGCAGCACATTTTTTTCCCTATTTATTAGATTGTCATAATCATTCCAGGCAATAATATTAGAATGTTTCCAAGGTAGCCTATTGCCACTGAGGGCTACTAATACAATTCTCTTGAAATTGAAATTCTTTTGTTTTGTCCTCCAAATTAAGATGATTTAAGCTAGGTAATTATGTGCAATTTCAAAGTTAAGTACAATTTATAGCTCTTTCACTCTTGATTTAAAGTAGATTCCATGACGGCAAAAATTTCACAATACAACAGTGTGCAGTATAATTGCTCATTTACTTTATTGTATATTTTTCGCAGTTCCGTAATACAAATACTGCTCAAGTTTTGCCAAATTTTTAATGCCTACAAAGTGGGTTTACTCAACAGGTGAGAGAAAGCCCTTTTCCAAGTTTTACAGTTCAATAGCTTCAGTTAAAACACCATGATCATATAGCTAAAAATAATAGCTGGTCAGTTCAAAGCTAGTCATACTTCATTTCTGGCTCAACGTTATAATAATGATCAAAATGACAAGTAAGGCAAAGATAGGACTGGAGCACTTTCAATACTGGCGGAAAATTGTCTGTCTGTTATTTTTAGCACTACACATAAATCTTCGGATAAACTACGATGTTTGTGCAAATGGTCACTGAAATGTGTCATTTCATGCCAGCCAGCTCTTTATCTGAAAAGGTCTGTTACTTAAATATTGATAATAACCTGTAAAAATACTCTAATAGAGTGATTTTATTTGGCCCGTGAAAAAAATAATAAGCATACTACAGTACATGGTAGTAGACTCTAATCCCAGTAGAGTGAAGTCATTAAATCTGTGAAATATATATTAGACTAAAAAACATTGGTAGACCCTAATTCCATTGTCTTCTTTTATGTCTATTTGACTATTACATGTTAACTAAACTAGTATTTATTATTTCACGGGTTATATACCTTTATTCTATTTTCTTTTGTTTTACTATGTCTGTTAGTCACTAATTATTCAACTTTTTTTCACAAACCAAATAATTCACTTTAGTACATGGGTATTTTTTTGATACATTCATATATAGTGATCTATGAATTTCATTTTACAAAGGTATGGCACTTCAAGCCATAGAAAATTTAGCATCTACTCTCTTAAATACAGATCATTAATTTTTCATAGAATATAACAATTTCAATGTAGGTATTAAGTTAACATTCAGAATACTTGGAGTTGAAACTGGACGTATATTGGAGTTCAAAAGTGTATATCTTTATCTTGCTCACAACAGACTGAATGTTACTTTTGTCACATCTTTAATAATTTTTTTCTCATAAGTTAGTTCATTTTTCCAGACTCCGACAGTGTTTTATTCCCCTGAAAGATTTGAACACCCATTGCCCCCCCCCCCCCCCCCCCAAAGAAAAAATAGAACGATTTGAACATCTACTGAAATCCCCTAAAAACATGAGACATATCAAAAACATGACACAGCCAGCCATACTGAGATATCAAACTGGAAAAACTCAAAAGAGTTCAAATTTGTCAATGCAACATTGAAACTACCTGCATAGCGGCACATTTTTGGGTCTTCCCCCCTCCCCCTTCCCCCCAATTTGGGCCGCTACGCAGGCTAGATTCAAATAAAACTTAGTTTTATTAATTATTAATTAACTGGTGCTGAGATAAAGTGCAAAACATCATTGACTAATAGTAGTATTAGTAATATTAAATTTCTTCTTGCTTTTAATGCTACGATGATTCAAAGGAAAGGTTTCAATGGCTTTCAAGCTGTTTCCATCTGGTAATTCAAATTAGTTCTAATTCCTTTAAGCTTGTTTCATCTTTGTCTATTAGTTTCGTTTAATTCCAAACATTTTCCTAGAAGGGATGGTCTGTGTACCTTTATCTTCCATCTTTTTTACAGCAACTTTGTAATGATACTCTCTAAGGTATAGCTTGAGAGACTTGGGCAATGGTAACTCTTCAATGCGTTGAAATGTGGTCTGATTACAGATAACTGCTCGGCATAGGTGTTGCAAAGGCATTGCAGACTTGCGTGGGAAGGGATGTAATAGTAACGGTTCATAGTACATGCACTGTTCCGCTTGGGAATAGTGCTCTAAGAGATCACAAACACTCTTGGAACAAAAAGAAAAGTCACTTGGCTTATCAAAACTATACTTGTGTTTCCACTGCTCGATCCGAGCATGATATGTGCGATAATATCTTCGGAAGCTGACCGAAAATAAATAATGATACTGTGCGCTATCTCTAAGGAGAAATGTCCCGTCAGCCTGTCCTTCAAGAACCTGTCAACAGAATAAATTCATAAATAGTGATCAACAATAATGAGGAACAAATACATTACATAAGAAGAGATGCTTAAATAAAAGCACAATATAAATGAAATATACACAAAAAGAAAAAAATCCATCTTCTGATTTGTAACCAAATGTACATCATTGCTGTGTGCAAAGACTAAAATTTGAAATAAAATATATTCTTCGTCTCATACTTAAAAATTCTTGAATTCATATACGATATTTGTTCAAACTAAAAAGTTTTCATAACGATAAGACTTATAGCTAATCCATTCTCAAACATAATTTACCAGTAGTTATTTATGCTTTTAAATATTTAATCACGATATATATATTCCTCAAACACGCTAAAAATAACGAAACAGTCTTATCAGATCAATAACTTTCCAAGAGTAAAATATTTTCCAAAAATAAAAGATCTACAAAATGTACAATATTGATTGAAGGGCTTTTTTTCCAAGTATGTAATAGCAATGGATTTTTCAAACAATCAAGTAGAATTATTAAGGCAGGTATGTTTATATAAAGCAATTAAAGTTAATTTAAAGAAGCCTCCTTCCACGACAAGGAATCATAGGAATCTCCTAGCTAAGTGTTGTCACGCATGAAAAAATAACTTGTTTTCCAAAATAAAACAAAAACACATCAATAAAATCTTAAGACATATTGACTTTATATTATAATGCTTTCAGGTATTGCTGGATATTCCTTTGATTTTTTGACAAATGAAGATTTCGATTATTTTTGCGACATTATTTTAATAGCCTGCTACTGTCTACAGTGTACGATTTAAAGTTTCAGATTGTCTCAAAGACGACGTAAACACTCTAGATAATAGTTCACTTACCTTTTCGGCTTCAAAACGATTTATTTTCCCCCAATACCAAGGACAATTTGTAATTTTGAGGATATCAGGAATAATGTGATATTCAATCCTAGTTTGTTCGGCCCTTAATCGAGCCCTCTCTCTTCTAATTGCCACCAGTTCGTTCACACCTATAGGGAATCTTATCGGAGCGTCAGGATCCGCTACAGAGTTTCGATGTTCGGTAGAGTCTCCATTTTCCTGTCTCTGCAGGGATTCTGGACCATTTTCTATATCATCTAAAGCTGTAGGAGTTGAATTAGAATCGAAAAATTTGCGCGCCCTTTCGATTAATGAATGGGGTCTTCTCCTGCTTGTTCTGTCGTTTGAGTCAGTTCTATGGCGGAATACAACGCTCTGAGGCCGTTGTCGTATTGATCGGTCATTGMTGCCTTCAAAAGCAGTTTCGTTTTGTTGTGTAGATGAGTCGTAAAGCGTTTCACAACCAGGTGTTCTCATTCTTCCTCTTCCGTCTGCAGCTATTTCAATCTCTCGATAAGCGTCGTCCGTTCTCCTTCGGCTACGATGCAATCTTCGAACCAAACGGCTAAACGAGAAAGTCCTAGATCTTCTTCTCGACCTGGTGTCCTCAGATAAGGTAGGACAACTTAGCGACTGATCAGATGATTCATGAGTATTTGCTGGTTCGCCATCAACTTCAGTTTCGTTGTTGTTGTCCCTGAGTTGTGTAGACGAAGTAAACTGACTTGAGTGCGACCCATCTTCGAGCGAATCTTTCCCATTTGAAATGATATCGCTTTCAAGACCAAACACAAAAAGCCTTTCACGTACTTCTCTCCTCAATCTATCGTCCTCCCCTTCGCTCTCGGAGTCAGAGAAGTTATAATTCTGCCTCAAATCAAATCCTTCTGCCATTTCCCGTCTCTGGTTGTTGGTACCACGAAGACTACAACACTGACAGTTTCAGATCTTATTTCAATGCTAGTCAAAGAAAAGCTACTCCAAAGTCATCTTTATGCATCCAAGGCGGTAGTTAATACTCTTTGGTTGTAATAGACGGCAGATGGCGTTCGTTTGGTGGAGTAGAAACTCAAACCTGGAAAGTAAACATAAACATGTTGGACGACCTGCTCTCGTCTCTTGTCGCGAGTTGACAGACAGAAAGCCGAGTAACCAAGTCAGCTGATGCGCGGCGCCAATGGGAAGTATGGGAAGTTACGTGAGACAGATAGAGAGGTGGGATAGCAAAACAAGATAAAGTGAAAGGAAGGAAGGAAAAAGAGTGAAACAGAAACACGCTTATAAGGAAAACGAAACGAAATATCAAGTTTAACAGCTTTTGATTAACTAACTAAAATGAATTTGTTAAATTATCTAAAAGATATTTATTCAAAACTGGAAAAAATGACGTTGCAACTACGCAGATTGCTTTTTTACCCACAACGATAATTTCAATGATTTTCACTAATTTGAGCCTCATTTTTGTGGTTACCGACGTATCTGCTTTGCGGTATGACTGATTGTGCCTCAGCTCTGTAAGAGTGAAACCGAAGGAAGGACTCAAGGGAGCTAAAACACTTCAAAATTTATAAGGTCGTGGAACCGGAAAACGTGCAGTTCGTAGCATCACTCAACAAAATTTATGCTTTCGTCAATTCACATCCGACATTTGGTGCCCGCCTAAAATTACCTCTTATCAAAGTTTCCCGCCCTGTTTTGGTTGCCGTGGGCCGGAGTCGCCTCTCCGCAATATTGCTCGTATTGATTCTTATTCAGGTTCAGGGCTTCGATCACTCTTCAGTTCAAATCTATGCTGACTGCTTTTCCATTTCATACTATGTACCAATGAGTGCCTTTAATTTGTTTTGTCACAGTTTATAATTTCACGCGAATTTACAGTGTTTATAAATCTTGTTAACTAATAATGTGTTTCCTAATTACCTGTATAATTAGGCAAATACCATTAGTCCATGACATGTTAGATCAGATAGCTGCATCCGTTTCACATCTGGCCGAAATAATCACTCCTGTTGATGGTGAGGTTTGCGTCATCGATATTTTGAAACAGGGGTCGGATTTTACATGAAAAGTTAATTAATCTACGAAGATTTACTTTTCTTGGCCAGTCTAGTCTTTCAACAGCTGAGACTTACATCAGCGTATATTGCTGGACACTCCGCAGCCGGCTTACTTGTGTACACTCTGACCTTCTCTGTATTATTCTCATTCTCACTTAACAAATCATTAGAATGCATGGTTGTGTTATCCAGGCGAGAAATAAGCCTTTTGTTTTCTCTTTCCCCAAGGGAAACAAGGGGGTGGCCCTAGCAAAGTGGTCATATGCAACGACTGGGCCACTATAGTACGATGTATTAGGGGTAAATCTCTGCATTTAGTCCCAAATAAATCTTCCCRGTGAGATTTTGTTTCAAGAAAAACTCAACCAAAAAGCAGACAGAACTGAATTTATTTCGTACAAAAAATATACGTTCATAGAAGCCTATACGACTCCATACTCTACAAACACAAAACTGAATTGTAAATTTGCATTTTGTAAATGTTAACTAGTCAGGGGCTGCATTTATTTGGCACAGGTCTGCAAAGAGAAAAGTTAAGAAATGTTTCGCTTAGAGTGCACGCACTAAAACCGTGAACATCAAATAGTACTAATTAGTACTATTTCATACAGAATCCTTTGTTTTCTATTGTTTAATTATCACTATTTAGTGCTAAAAATTAGTATTTGTTTCACGGATTTAGTGTGAGCACTCTAACTTTGGCAAGCTATATGCCAAACTATTAGTAGTCTCTGACGCAAGGCGTGAAATGATTGTGTTCTAAAGATACTTGACTAACAATTTTGATATATCATCTGCAAGATCTCTTGAATACCAAACAAACACCGCCCCTGAACTATGTTGGCATCATGATGAGATGTAGTCTCCATCGTACCCGTAATTAGTGAGGGAGCGACAAGATGGGATGCTGCTCTCGAATAAACAGCCAAAATTGGTAATAAAACACAATAGAAAACTAAAGGTAATGAAATTCGAATACTTGTCTCCTTAATATTAGTAATCGTCAGAATTCAATACACCTTAGGATTTTTGTCGGAAGTTTCCGAGTGACAGATACGAGGAACAAAATATCGATAAAACCGAGTAAAGTATAAAAGAAATTGTTAGCTATCTGTGGAGAAAAGATAACTATTGGCGTAGTCAATATTTTTCGCTAAGGTGTAAGGGGTCCTCCAACTATCATAAACAAATCATCTTACCCCCTCCTCCACATAAAAGACGTTTTCCGCACCCATCTAAATTCCACCAGACCACGCCTCTGTGAAACCTTTTCGAACTCGTAAAGAGATCTTACTTATCGCTTTTCTCAATATTATGCGAAGTCAGTAGTTGCGAGTTGTCTGTTGGAATTTGGTTTTTCACTGCCGCCAGTCAAAAATATCAGTTATCGACTGATTAATTTTGATTGACGTTAGTGAAAAACCAATTTCCAGCAAGCCGTTGAAATGACTGAGTTAACAGAATATTGAGCCATTGCAGTAACCCATGAAACACAATTGGTTTCTACCGCTGTTTTCGTTGCTACGCGCTGATCGATACAACAGTCGCAACAGGAGAAATCGGGCAATACACTCAATAATAAAATAATACAATACACGTCAATCGAAGCAGAGGCAGATCCAGGAATCAAAGAAAGGGTGAACCGGAAGAAAGGGTGGGGCGGAAATTTTCGTCCTTTAAGGTCACTGGAGACCTTCAGGGGTATGTTTCGTTTAAGACTCTCTCTTCGCAACACTTTAAATAAAACCCCATRAAACTATATATCGTTTTAAAGGTCACATAATAGAGATTCAGAAAACAATATTATTTCACGGGTTAAACAAAACCACTTTATCACGTTATCTATATATATTTAGGTGCATAGCTAATTCTATTTTTCTCTTAGTGCTCTGTATAACTTTGATGAATCATGACGTGTCTATTTAGCTTGATATCATTGTATAATTTTTAGGTGTCGACAGTGGATCGGTGTAGTTTTGAACTTCGACTGTTTCCTGAAGTAAAGGAAAGCCCAGCATACGCGAGCGCTGAAATGCATGCCGTTTTCGTTCGTAACCGAGTGGTTTTCAGTCGAAGAATATACCGCATTTTTATCCAATATTTTCACACAAACTGCTAATTATCATTCATTCGGAAGAATGAATTCATTTGGCAGAATTAAGTTCCTTCCTCTGAGAACTCTTTGCTCCGTCTTTCTTCTCTCGATACTTCCTGCGACTCTCACTACAAAGTGCATGCAAGACCATAGAAAGCTAAACTTCATTTTGTTTTTCACTTCTTTCTTGAATTAAATCTATCATAAATTCTTATTCAGATGAGAAATGTATTCCCAATGAGCCACTGCAATTAGTTCTTGTACCCCTCCCCCTTCTGCCCGGGTAAACTCTTTAAGAAATTCTCAGACTAAAAGATAAAGGAAAATCCTTTGGAGACTGTTTAGGAAACGAAAGAAAATCTTGAGGTGGATGTTATTTCCATTGAAACAGAGGTTATTTTTCTCATAACGTACGGAGGGCAGATAAAGACCTCTGCAAGCATGGTAGGAGAGAATAGGGCTGCGGAAAAGGTAGAACGAATGAAACTGTTCCCGAACAAAGGCAAGATAAACAAGTTAACATTCTTAACTGGGGCACAGGAATTACCTCGTGCTGAGGTAAACACTTAAAATTCAAGGACTATTTAAGGAATATTCAAGGACCCAAAAATGAATTTTCAAGGAGTTCGGTTCAGTTTACACGGTAGTTGCACATGACCGACTTTCAGATTTTCCAATCTTTCTGACTATATTTTTTTCAGAACCATGCAAGTAATGATCAAAGCAAAAATTCAAGGAGTTTTCAAAGAGTTTCGCTAAAATCATAAAATTCAAGAGCTTTTCAAGTGCCCTTGAAAACGTGAATTAAATTCAAGGAGTTTTCAAGTAGTTTAAGGAGTAGCACGAACCCTGAAGTTAACATTCTCAACCGTGGTACAAGAATTAAATGTAGTGGCTGATTTATGATAATTCTACCTATTGGTTACCATGAATACCCTATGGAACTGTAGGTCTGTATTCCAGGGCGTGACCAATCTTCTACAAATTTCATTATTATACCATTCTTTAGTCGCGTTCACATTTAAAAACATTTCATGTGAATGACTTGTGAYCCAATTTCACTGTAGTCATCTACAGTGACATATTGTTCATCAAATATGGAAAGACTTGCCAGGATAGACCCTCCTATCCAGGGTGAGTGTCTGCGATGTTCTGGGGCRCGTATCTTGTGTATTCGAGGGTTAGTACGATGGAGTTCGTGCTGTAGTCTTGAAGTGAATCCTTTGAGTAACGTGGTCCCTCCTGATAGCACGATGTGTTTGTAGCATAAATCCTGCAACTCTGGATCACATCTAAAAAACGAATTGGGTTTGAATAAAACGTCTTGCAGATAGAAGTATCATGATATCATATCCGGCTAATCGGCTAGGCAATAGTCGGAGTACACAACAACGACAACAACAAAGAACAGCAACAACAGCAACAACGCAACAACAACAGCAACAACAACAACTCCAAATTTTACTGGTACCTTGTACAAGATCTGGGCTGACCGAAGTCAGGGCACAACTAACTCACAGATTGACTTGGGATTTACATGTAGCATGTTAGGTTTTCCAAAGGGAGGGAAACCAGAAAACACAGAGAAAAACCCCCCAATCAAGGGAGAGTTCCAACAGATTCCACTCATATCTCATGTTTTTATCTAACTGAATTACGTAATTGCGAGAAATGGGGAAAACCTTGACAAGAATAATAAATTCTCTAAACCAAAAAGCTTAGCTATTGACATACATAATCASATGAATATACACCTTTTGATTGCAGTATCAATGAGTTTATGCACAGGCTGTTGAGAGGCTGTTGTAGAGTTTGCAGACATTAAAGTATCTGGTTGGAATAACGGTTCTACACATGACATACACTCATATCCAATATCAACCATCTGGCCATCAGGTAGCTTGTAGTACTGAGTAAGAGAGTCATTTTTCTGGTACTTGTCAACATCATGGTCATAATCTGGGGAAGAGTGGAGATCAACTTATTAATTTGTTTTAAAAATTCTTTTTGTAGGCTGCTGTTGGACCATAGGATTGCAGCTGTTGAGGGGTAGGTGTGCAGTCAGCAACCATTAGCTGCACCCATCTCAACAGCTGATAGCTGGCCAGTCCTGGACCAGAGTGTGCTATCACCGCCCATTGGCTGCACCCATCTCAACAGCTGATAGCTGGCCAGTCCTGGACCAGAGTGTGCCATCAGCACCCATTGGCTGCACCCATCTTTGCAGCTGATAGGGCCAGTCCTGGACCAGCATGTGCACTCAGCACCCATTGCTGCACCCATCTTAGCAACTGATAGGCCAGGTGGTAGGCTTGTCCTGGACCAGCATGTGGATCCAACCCTTACTATAATGTTATAGGCCCTTAGTTTTTCTTCCGCCTACTCAGTGCAAAATCTATATATCATATGAAAAGGGAAGATGGAGTGCAAGATATATGGTAACAGGATTCTTATTTGAGGCAAGGCTTTGGGCTTACCTTTGGCAACAAAAGCCAGGTTTTCTTTTATATCATTAACGATTTGCCAACCAGAGGATGTTGTGAAGTTCCTTGCTCTAATATCCCRCAGCAGAATTTTCAAATTCTCAGTCAAGTCACCACCTCCTATATCAAGCTGCTGTTCAGTGTATGCTAGTGTGTGTCCCTCATAAACTACACCTGCTTGAGTGCAAGAATAGCCAGAGGACAGACAGACACCTGAGGTAAATCCTGAGGCATACAATGACAATGGTAACTGATCAGCCAAAAACATGGCTGGAACATTCAAGTGTTCAAATAATATCTGCAACAAAAGAATTAAAGATATTTTTCTGTAGTATCAAAACTCCCTTAAAATGAGCCTTACTCATGTTGCAGCAAATGAGAATAAAGATTTTAAAGTAATAATATCTATTAACAAGATAATGCCATACATTTACACTTATTTCTGAATAAGAAGAACCAAGACAGAAATTTCTAAAGAGATATTTTTCTAAAATTTAATATTTACAAGCTTTTCTTCCTACCTCTGCAATTTTTTCTCTGTTCTTTTTTGGATTTTGTGAAACCTCGGTGACTAATACAGGATTATCACCAACTTCAGCACCAAGTTCATCATAAAGCAAATACTCCCAAATTTCTTCTATGTCAGTCCAATTTTCAATTAAGCCAGCCTTCATTGGATGGGCTACATTATATCAAATTATAGAATTGTAACAGTAAGGTATGGAAGCAATCAAAGTAACTACTTGTAATAATGGGGGAAATAAGTGACATAGGTTGCATAGAACAAAGAAAATACGTGTAGACTCCTGGGCCTGGTTGTACAAAGGGTGAATAGCATTATCTGATTATTACATCTTATTCAGTGAATAAACTTATTGGGTAACAGCATCGCCTTATCCACTGGATAAGGATTTATCTGTTGGATAGCGCTATCAACCCCTCATACAACCAGGCCCATTAATGTAAAGGAAAATAATATTTACACTTCTTAGCTACGACAGATTGTTCGATATCGTCTGAGCTAATTGAAACTAATTACATAATGAGTTATTGTTATGTCACGCATTTACATTATCCGTTACCGCAAAATTCGTTTTAGAATGAAACAAAAACTATGATTGTAACTGTAAATTATGGATTGAATTTTTGGCTATGTTGTTAGTTTAACAAATAGATCAGGCTTAGCTATGTTCTTTGCAGAACATTGGCTAAGCCTGATCTATTTGCTTTATATGAGAGATTTTCACGAGAAAAATATCGTAAAATCTCAAAAAACATTTTTTCACAAAAAGAGCGCTCGGCTAAAAATGCCTAAAAATGCGGCATAGGGCTATCTGATTAGTCCAGTTTTGACAGGTAGTGACAGCTCTGTACAGCCTGGCATACACATGGTTTATGGCATTTGTTGAACAAGAAACAAGAATTGCTTGTAAAATTTAGCAAAAAAGCCAAGGAAAACAAGCATTTCAACTTACTCTTAGAAGAAATGGAAATTCAAATAGTGAAGAGTTTGAAAATTTTTTTCTATGTTCAGATCGTTTACTGGACATAGTAATGGTAACTAACAGGAGTCACCACCAAGAATTAAATTTGTATTGATTACTGAACAATTATTTGCTGATAACAAATGACTGACTTACTCAAATGCATGACGCCAGCCTTGGCCACAGCTTCACTGCCATACTTTTTATAGTCCTTTAGATTACTTTCCATCCCAGTGATGTGCATTGAAAACCTTTGAGGCATGCCTGTCACATTCTGTTGGATAACTCTAGGAACTCTGTCTCCAGCATATCCAAGCTTGATTATACCACTTCCGTTGTCCAAGACCACAGCTCTGTTATAGTGGGAGCCAACTGGTAATTTTGGAGCGAAATAAAAGAATAACTATGATCATCATGAAAACATTCATTCACAGCAATTTTCAATATTATGTGAAGTCATTCTTATTAGAATTTAGTTTTCCACTGTCACCAGTCAAAAATATAAAAGCTACCAAYTAGTCATAAATTCAGTGTCTCATACAAGAATTAGAAATAGTTATCTCTACAAGAAATGAAAGTAGAATGAAAAACTTTTTAAATCAAGGTTTAAATTTAATAACCAAATTTTTTAGATATTATTTTTGAAATAAATAATAAATACAGGCGACCCTGAGCACCCTAAAAAGTGGGGGGCTAAGATTGGAAAATGTAATGAGACTAGTAAGGAGAAAGGAAAAACGCGTGGGATTTGGGGGTGTACAGTAGCCCCCCTGCCCTACCCCTTCACAGCACATGAAATAGCATCAATACAAAATTCAGATCATTTTTTCCCAAAAAGAATTCTTTCATTTTTTCCTTTTCTAAGGAAAAACTCTTAATTCTTGAAAAATGAGTGCACAGACAAACATGTTTTCTCCAGTGTCAACATTGGGGTAAATTCAATAGAGAATTTAATACTGGGGGAGGAGGGAGGCTTTATCCATTTCTAGCATTGGGTATCGGCATTTCCTGGAAATCCCCAATATCTTGATAAGTAAGGATTTTGAGATTAATAATATAAGAAACGAATAATATAAGAAACGATACAGACAGTAATTCATGACGTTTCGAGGTCATACTGACCTTATAATCAAGTGTGYTTAATTGAACTAAATCTTGACTATTTATAAATACAGACAGTATAAATAGTCAAGATTTAATTTCATTAAACACACTTGATAATGAGGTCAGCATGACCTCGGAACGTCGTGGATTAATGTCTGTATCGTTTCTTATATTATTAATCCCCAATATATTTGAAAAAGATTCTCACCTGATTTAAGCTTTGGCTTTTCTTTCCCTACCTGTCTACTGGCACAAAGACCATCAACAGTGAGAACAGGTTCAAATACCTTGATACCATCATCTTCCTCATCAGAATCCTTTTCATAATCATACCAATCAAAATCCTCATAATGGGCTTCATCATTGGCCAATTTTGAAGACCCCCCTACAGCACCAAGCCTGGCTTCAGCATCATGATCAATGACCTCATCCTCTTCAGAATCAGTAAAATCTCCAGAATCCTCTGAGTGTGGAGTTACCTCTTTTTTTCCCTTCGAGAGCTCTGGGGAGGAAACGTCATATGACTCACTTGAAATACTATCTTCAAATTCCAAGTCCTCTTCCAAGTCTAAAATCAAACTCCTTCTCCAAAACCCTTCTTTATTATCACTACTCTGTTGATCTTTGTTTCGTAACGTGACCTGGTTTTGTATAACTAATCCAGGAGAGCTTGATGGGCTGGTTTCAACTTCAGTTTCATTACTCTTTTCTTTATCTAATGTTAATCTTACTTCTGGAATTACAGGTGCCAAGTCTTCATGCTTATTGAGAGGTTCATCAAGATTGTCCTTTGGTATTTCAAAGTTATTGTCTAAATCTACAGTTGGTAAAATGTCTTGTTCAAGTTCTGGCTTATCTCTTGTTTTACTGGAATCAGAAATGGCCGTCTCATCTTTTGTTTCAGGAACTATTGTTTTTTGTAATGTAGTTATGCCTTCAACAGGTGTTTCCTCATCTGTTTTAGCATCTTCAGCAGTTATTTGATGGTTTTTTGGCTCATCTTTTGCCTCACTGGAGTCAGAAATTGCTGTTTCATCTTTTATTTCAGCATCTATTAATTCATTTAATTTGGGAATGTTTTCTACAGGTAATTCTTCATTTGTTTTCTCATCTTCAGCAGTTTCTCTATCGTTTTCTGTTGCAGCATATTCTGTGAATGATTTAGCAGACAGTTCTGACACATTTTCTTCAAACTGCTCCTCAACATCTTCAACTTGTTTATCAATCTTTTGTTCATCATCTGTCACAATTAATTGTTCACTTTGATCCTCAACAGATTTCTCAGCTTCTTCAGACACCTCTTTACTTGATGTTTCAACAGGAAGATCTTCAATTAATGTTTTATCAATATCAAGAGGTATCTCACTTTCTAGTTTAACATCCTCTTCAGCAACTACTTCAACTGCTTCATCTTTCAATGGCTCCTCAACTGGCAAAATGACACTGTCACAAACTGCTTCGACATTATTATTAGTTTCAGTTTCATTTGATTTATCATGTAGTCCTGAAGTCTCTTCTTCTGCTATGGGTTCAGTAGGTTGGTCAACATCACCCCTTTTCAATTTCGAGGCAGCTTCACATATTGCACTATTAACAACATTTTCAACCACAAAACCAATGTGGGGTTGGATTTCTTGTGCAGAGGTCACATCTAATTCATTGTTATCCATATACTCTTTCTTCAAAGCTGCCTCACCAACAGCCTCATTCACTACTTCACTTGCAACACAAGTCCCAAGTGCCTCCATTTCCTCTATTTCCAATCGTTTTTGCATTTTAGCCTCTATTTTCTGTCTTTCCAAAGAGGTTTGCACTTTCAAGATAACATCATCAGCAGAGTCTGAAAATATTTTCTCAGACAAACTTTCTGCAAAAGTATTTAAACTAATACTGTTATCTACGGCCGTTTCTATGGTTGTGTTTGCCAAATCATTAGCGAATTTCTCCAAATCTTTTCCCTGTTGCTTGGAAGGTGATGGTGATTGAAGATCAATGGCATCCATAGCCTCTGCAGGAACTTGTCTTGATATTTCCTCAGCATTACAGCTTGTTATTTCAACAGTCTGGATATCTCTAGATGCAGTATTTTCTCCTGAGCTTCTGTTGAGGTTATCACTGAAATCAGATACCACGGAGGCTGCTATGCCGACGTCAATAGGAGATAATCCCTCAGCACCATCTTCTAAATTCCTATTGCATTCCATGTACGAATTTGATGGAACTTCTTCAAACTCAACCGGTTTAGACACATCCTTCTCGTCCCCTTTTAAATCAACAACATTACCTACTCGTTCCTTGTTCTCTGTTTCAGGTACCTCTGCTAATGACAGAGAAATATCTTCGGGTAAGAGTATTAATTCAGAAAACTTTGATGAAGTGTCGTTGAGGAGTTCATCATTTGGTGAATTTGAGGCATGCCCAGAGTTTTGCATCGACTGAACCGATCCCTTGGCAGTGTTTGTACTTTCAAAGGAAGGCAGACTAAGATCAGAAACCAAGCTGGATGATTCTAATTTTTCTGTGTTTTCTACAGAGCTGGGATCAATTTTACAACTCGAAGAGTTGACTTCCTGTGGGGTAGACTCCGCATGATGAGCATCGCCATAACTTAGCGAACTTCGTACAGAAGTATTCCAAACAAACTCTGGAATATCACTTTTTCCACGAATGAAAGGCTCTGAGATTACGCCATCCTTATCTCTTTCTGCCTCCAAATCCTCTCCTTCATGGGTCTCTGAGAACTCCTCTTTCTCGGCCTTTACTTCAGACTTCTGTTGCGTGCGTTTAGGATACAGCCAAGACAAGATAAAATACAGTGTAATCAAAACAACTCCAAAAATATCCCAATATGACAAAAAGTTCATCTCGATGCACTTGGTCGATTATCAACAAAATATAAACGGTGTTATTAACAAAAAAGGACAATTTTCAGCGTCTTGGAGGAGAAAGAATAGCACCACGAATGAAGAACTGTGTTCGCATCCGCCATCTTCGAGTAACTTCTTCTTATATATGGAGCCTCGGTTGCGTGCGACGAACGTCCAACGGAAGCTTACGACAAACAATCGCGTGGCTAAAAATAGTATCAACAATCGAGTCTATTGATTGTTTGACATAAGAGATTATTGAGCTCTATTAGTGTGGACACAATCACCCAATACCCGACAGGTCACTTAAAATATAAATCGGTGAATTATAGATTTTTAAGAGGTTTGTTTTGGATACATTAAAGTTGGGTCAGCGCGCTAAAGTACGTTAAGGCCTGGGTTTTCTTTGCATAGTACTGCGCTTGACTGCGCAAAGCTGTCCAATATAATTGGCATTGGTTCCTTCTTGTCACGAAACACAACACCGTAAAAGGTTAAAGCGCTCAGCGTAAATATTGACAATCAATTCGGATGTCAAGCAAAATGCAAACCACAGGAATTCCAAAGAATGTTTCATACAAACCATTAGTCTATAATTACTTAATGCTTACCGCGCGCTCGATTAAATTGGCGCGATTTTTTATACTCGAACTAGGATCAGGTGTATTTAATTTTATGTTTATGACTCAATCTGTAATGGTTGGAAAATGTGCAGACTTTATTTTTTGCAATCATAAAACGCATGTTTTTCTGCCTGTTTCCAAAGGTGCTTTTGAATTTAAATTTGAATTTTGAATATAAGAGGGGGTCATTCATTCGATCTCAACACTCATGCAGTGCCAGGGAATTGGGGAGTACAAATCTCGCGAGAGAAGCAAGCTTAGGAACGCCAGCTGAGTGTTTTTCTTGCATGCTTTTCGAAATATCGCAACGCATTTTCTGGGTATAATAATGACTTTATATAATAATGTCAGTCAACTTTTCCCTAGCTAGTCATTATAACTGATACATATGGCCGGTTGTACGAAAAGCGGATAGCGCTATCCTTATCCAGTGGATAATTCGATACTGTTATATATGGATTTATCCACTGGTTAGGACTAATTTATTATATAGACATGAGTGTTTTACCGGGAAATACTATGCCACTTGTATTTTTCGTACAAACTACATCCAGGACAAGAGTAACGTATTTTCCATCTTTACTACTCAGGATATCGATGACGTCACTTGCGATGTTCTCCGGGACCTGTTTTAATTAACTTCCGTAGTTTTTCTTTGTGGATTTGTCAATATATCAACGGGAAAATTATACGTTAGCTTGAAGATATGAAGATCTTCGCGCCACCGTGTAATATCCTCTATTTATCCGTCGGATAGCGCTATCCACCCTTCGTACAACCGGGCCCAGGAGTCCATTATCCTGAACATACAACACAGGTACCCTTATCTCGAGCTCGTTATTTTTAGATTCGTATTGGTACCAAATAACAAAATTCCTCATTCGTTTCTCTCATTTGTACCACCTACATGATGGCTATAGCCGTTTGTTCTCTATTTCTCGAGGGATTGACCAGAGATAAAAAATAGACCGAAATCCACTTTTTATACTCCCTATATAGTATCATTTCCTTGTTTGATGGTTACGCACGAGAAAATACATGATACGGATACGCCTCAAACAAAGAATGCAACTGTTCTGAAGTGGGGAAAATTTTACATTGCAATGCGAGCGGTTTGATAATAGACCTATCCCGAATTCGCTTGAATGACCACGAAACAATAGTTTGAAGTCGAGACTGAACTTGATTCTTTTATTCATCAAGTTCAACCTCGACTTGAAGCCATTGTTTCGTGATCAGTCAAGCGAATTCGGGATAGGTCTATTGGGTCCTTGGGATTGGCCCTGAGATTTCCGCAAATGATGAGGTGGCTTATAATGGACTTTAGATAAATCAGAAGACAATCTGCTTTCATGCTCATGTGCGGAAATGCATGCTAGATTACCATGAAAAGCTATTAGTGATTTAACTGGGCATCAAAACTAAGGGAGAGATGGAGAGACGTACGTTTATTGCCAACTCCCTTAACAAATATATACCGAATAGATAGAGGGTCTCAATGGGGTATGTCTCTATAAGTCTAACATCAGGCGAAGGTTCAGATATGGCTTTCAGCTTTATGGCTTCTGGATAATTTTCATCCTGGTTAATAATTGAAATTTTTATATTATTAGCTTTAATCAGGCTACAATTCTTTTTGCAGCATTCGTAATGCTTATCAAGGCTCACTTGACTGACTATGACGCTAAGTCAATTGAGATCCGATATAAGGTGTTGTTTTTACACAAAAGCTGCTTAAAACAAGCGTCCTATAATAGGAATAAACGGTGCTGAGAGTGATTAGGCATAAAAATGGTCAATATGGGGGCAGAATGTCTGAAATACTTCTTTGTGCACCTCTTTAAAAGAAAGTTTTAGACGAAGAGAAAATCGAAACAACGACCCCAAGTCATTACAGTTAACGTTTTCTTTTATTTTTAAAATTTCTTTTTTTTTAATTTAATTTTTAATGATCAAGCCTTCCCATCATCTTTTTTTTTTTATGTCCTCAAGATAGGTTCTTCAGATGCTAGATAAGGACGAATAAGTAGCTATAGCCGGATAAGGGGCTATTTTTGAGACTACGCAGATCGTGTGCGTGCGCTATAACTCGGCTGTAGCAAATGTGAAAGAAAAGAGCACAAAAGGAAGTTAGATAAAATCAAGAGAATATTAAGTATATATCATATTCTCTTGATAAAATAAAATTCTTGCTATTTTTCCGAATATCTTTGAAAAAAAAAGCGATTCATTATAAACCATTCCGCACATTTGCTTGAATAATATATACTGACAAAATAGAAAACGCATATAAGATACCAATGAATGCTTTTAGTTCTTGCAGTGATCAGTTTGCCTCTTTATTCATCATGGTTTTTGGAGCTAAAAGATTTATATGCCTTCATTTAGCAGAAAACACTGATGAGAACGGAAGTCCCGCTGTGTCTTCAGTAAAGTGAGCTTTAATTAATCACTCACTCTGCTTTTTAGAATCATGGGGGGG